TCAAAATTAAATATATTGTTCATAAATGAGCTAATGTAATGTGAAAGTGAAAAAAAAAATTGAATTTCAAAAATTAGACAACATTTTTTGCACATTTTGAAAACATTCACTTAATATATTTTTAAAAAAAAATATGCAATGCATAACTCCATTAGCAATTTTTACACTTTTGAAGTTCCTTTATATTTGCATTCCTACTCGTCTTTTTAATTAACAAAAACAAGAGAATATATTTCCTCAATCAAAGATTATGAAAAAATGAAAAATCTTTTGAGCAAAGTGAAAAATTACGAAATGGAGCAAAACAATTATGTTACAGGGAGGAAGGGCGAAAGAGTGAAATGGTTTTAATCGGTAAAAAAATAGCCATTGAGCGATTTTTTTTTTCTAAAAGGAAAAAAATAAATAGTTCATGTATTTTCATACATTGGCATAATTTTTTTCTTTCAACTTTCCATCAAACAAAATTTGGCGCATTAAATAGAGCTTTTTTGAAAAGAATGTTTGCTTTGAGAATTTAAACATTTCTATGGGCATGTCGAAAAAGACTCAATCGTTTTAAATAATTTTTTGATTCATTAATCATTTTCGTATTTGTAGGAATTTCAAGATTTCATACAAGCAATTGTTATGGTATATAGAATCCTGAAATTTTTTAAGCTTTTTCCCCATATCATTTTTTTATACGGAATGAAACTACTCCCGATAAAGCTAGTAAACTTATAAAATCTGGTTGATATTACTGAATTTCGGGTCCGGCAATCATTGTAGAAAAAGCTGCCTGTATTATTCACGAAAATGTGATTATTGCGCATTCTCTTTCTACCAAATATTTCTTAAAATATATCATAACCGAAAATAAAGATATAAGACTCTTTAACTGATCTATATTCTATTAACTGTACGACAAATCTGTAATATTTTACAAGGAATATTTTGAAAAAGAAACGAATCCATCCAACTTGCATATCTGAAAATATGACACAGATGGTCATTCGATATTTTGTACTCTCTTGAAAAATTTTGTCACTGAGAGTGACGAAAGAACGTTAACAAAGGAAATCGTTTTGTGATGATAATTTATCTAGCGTTTCTAACACTAACATAATCAAGATATCACATCCAATCCCTGATTTCTTGGTACTTTAATCTTCGTGTTACCCGCGCAGTAATAACAAATATAAGATTGGAAGCAATTTCTAATTATTTTGCATAATACACATATCACAGAAAGAAGATGGTTTAATTGTACCCGCAAAGTGAAATAAAAAGGCCCAGAGAAAGGATAACATAACAATTTAATCATTGGGATAAACTTTCTTATGCCATGGTCGAGATGTATAATGTTTTCCATCGAATGCTTCGAAATAATTCTTAACAAGTGGATGGAATATCTAAAAATAGATTCATTGAAAAAAACCCAGAAAAAACACATGTTTTTGAAAAAAAAAAAACTATTGAGGAGCTCCGAGAAAAAAGAAAATATTTATTGTTATTATAGCAATCTGAAAAAAAAAACCAGTAAAAAGAATCAAGAATTCCCCGACTTTATAATTGTTCTACGTTAGCCCATTAATATTACTCTTTACATCACAATAAAAAAAAGCAACATTCTTTAATTAAAAAAGAAGAAAAAGTTTCAAAAATGATGACACGGCATTTAAGAACTTCAAACTTCAAGGATGTATAACTCGATATTTTATAACTGATTAATTAACTGTTCTATATACAGAATAAGTTTCTCAGTAGAGATATCATTTAAAATAATAAGGAAGAAATCATACCCTTCCTTCACCGAGTTCAATATTCTCCTCAACAACGTAAGCCAACTGTGGAATTAGCCTATCCCTAGTGTCGATTATAACCGAATAATTGGGCATCTCCGACCATTCCTGATGAGTGAAATCATTCATAAACAACAGAAAAACTATAAAGTTGAATATAATTTGAATTATTCGGAAAACACAACAAGAAAATTGAGATATGGGACTGACAACTCTCATGTAATATCAATGCGTTCAAACATGCTCTAAAAGTTTGAAGAAAATTTAGAAAACTTATGGAAAGTTAACCAGAGAATTGGTAGGGAGAAATGTGAAATTAATTTGCTGATATTTAGCAGCGTATGCAGATTGTAATTTTTCACAATATTTACTTACTTTTCGGCCTTTATGCGTTTTATCGAGCCAACTTTGTGGCGCAACTGCTTTTTCATCCCACCCAATAATAACACCTCTATATCCATGAATTTTATGTCGAACCACATCTCCAACACGATATTTTACATAAGGCGGTCGTGGATCTCGCGGTTTGAGAGAACCTGCAAATAAAATTGATGCAGTGGAATGATGATTATATATTTAGTTTTGAACAAACATTACGAGATCCATTACGTCTTATGATAACCTTTTAAAACTAACTGTACACTTGACCTTACCAAGAACAACTCATGACTTAAAAAAAACAGCGATAATAGCAGCGTGTCCAAATCATAAAATATGTCATCGCGTTGCCAAATAGAACAATCAATTCCAATAAAATTACCTCCAAAATATTTAGTTTCTTTCTCATCTTCTGATATATCGATAACTTCGTCCGCTTTTTCTTCTCCATGTAAAAATAATCGAGAGAAATGTGACAATGAATTTCTAAGTCTGGAAAAAAAAGGTAAAACAGTTGTGGAAATGATGAACAACATGTACGTGCGCAAAGAATAATTCGGAACAACTTGTTTGTATTTCACAACAAATTGAATCGCAAAGATACATTATGTTTTCCCTCTAAAAACCATTAAACTAAAAAAAACTTAAACTGGGAAGCGCATTCAAAAGCAAACAACTCAGATTTAATATAATACTGGAATGAAACAGAAAAGTAAAATCAAATGGCGTAAATTTAAAATAGAAATTGAAACAAGACCCATTATTTTTAGAATTTAAAACTTAAAAAGTAAACTTCACATGTTATAAAATCAAACATACTTATGCAAATGATATCTGACATCAGATGATGACGATGGTGATAAAAGAAATTGCAAAGGTACAGCAATAAGTATAGCAAAGAAAATAATCACTGGAGTATATTCCACCATTGTTCGACTAACATGACCATAATTCATAAGAACTGAAATTAAAAAATACTGAATTTTGAAAGATCATTCATTTTAAAAGTTTTTCCATGAGCCAGAAAAATTCAAAAGAATGCACAACAGTAAAGTAATGACTCAATATGCCAGAACAGTCTAATTTGAAGCTTGGACTGTCCAATTTGAAAAACAAAATCCAAACGTAAAATTCGATGCCAATATTGACCATAATCAAAAGAATTTGTGATGACATTCGCGCAACATTCACCGCCATAATTAGTTTTAGTTTTCATAGTAATCAAAATTGCAAAAAATGAAATCAATACTTAACGCTAACCAACAATAAAATATGAATTCACAATAATTAATGAAGAAAAACCTGAGAGTGTTACTAACAAATAAAATGAGCATTCAATATCACTTCTTCTTCACAAAATACATTCAGTCTTGAATTCAAAACACATTCAAAAGAAAATTTCGAATGTTTTCATGATCCATTAAAATATTCAGTTCTAGCCTTACTTTTAAATTTATAATCCAAACAGGATTCAATACTCTGTCGGATTCTCGCTCCGTATACCGTCAGGATCAAAACATAGTATATTCGAGAATCTTCCGTATAAATATGATTAAATTTGGCCGGGTGCTAGGAATGACGACGAATACAGGCGAGTCCACATTAATGCAACGTCATCAATAGACGATCACAATTATGAATTTAAACAAGCAAAAAAAAAAAAAACAGAAAACCATGGCAATAAAATTACTACTTTATAAATTTAAATATTCCAAATTACATCTTAAAATTCTTAAAAAAAGACTTTTCCTAAAATTATGGATTTTTTTTAAAACTGATGAAACTGCAAAAAAAATTTGAAATCGTCTAGATTCGAGCATCGTATTCGATAAAGTGAAAGTGGTAGAAATAAAGATGGTTAAATGAGAGCATATATTGCACTTCGAATTTTCACCCCAACGGAATTCCCATAAATCTCATACCAACCGGTAAAAATTAAAAATATCCCGCTTGTAGTCAGTATTTACCAGGTGGTGAAACGCGACCTCGGACGTGAGTACAATTTTAATTGTCGGAATTTTTATTGTTGAAATAGTTTAATTTTAATTTGCTGAGATAATTTGATTTTTTGGAATTATTCAACGGGAAGTATGTCATGTATGCACGTTAACTTAACATATGTAAATTAATCTGATCACGTACCCTGCCAGCATTTATCTATCTCTTTTTATGAAATTTTAATAATATTTGTTGGCACATTCTCCTTCTATATTCTTAGTCTTTTAAGATTTTGAGGACGAAACACCAAAGAATAATTTTAAGAGAAGTTAAAATCGATAAGGTGGATGAAAATGTTTATGTGATAAGGACTGAGAATAAAAAAAAATAGCGTGATTATGCGGATGAAAATAAAATTAACTTGTAAATGTAGTATATGGCAAGTTATTCATTATTTTAATAGAAAAGTGAACATTAATAAAGAAAAGATAAAGATTGATAAGGATGATTGGGATTTTTATTATTCTTGCTGGTAGTGCTATTAACATTTATTCCAATAAAATGTGTTATTTTCATGGGGTGCCAGATGATTGATGTTTTATGATTTTATTTTGTTAAGTTTCAAATGGTTCCTTCAAAATAATAAGTTTTTGTCTTTTATTAATCTTATCAGTCGGTATCTTTTGCTATTAAGAATTTTTCATATTATGAAATTTCATCTCCTTTTTCATTTCAGTAATGAAACGTATTAGTTGTTTACTTTATCGACATCAATCATATGGTTTGATCAAATGGAATGACGAAAGGTTGTTAAGAACAGCTGTCGTATCGTCGCCTGCTTCGATAAATGTGGTAAAATTACGTTCGAAACGCTGTAACAATTTGGTTCCTTCATGCTTACTTGTTAAAGATAAAAGTTGGAAAGAGAAATTGGAATACGCTGCTGCTTGCTATCAAGTTGTAAGTATGCCTACATAAATATCTCATATCGTCTCGTTTCAGTTGTATTTTATAGATTTCTCCTTTATGACACAACCTTTGATAATTTTTTTGTATTTTAAAAATTATCAGATGAAAAATAAACTTATATGGATATAATATCATAGGTTAGATTTTTGTTTCCGATTCATATAGATCTCACACTTTATACGCTGGTTGTAGGTCTACTTTTTAACAACTTAATCACAAAATTTAAAATTTCAAATTATAATTCGAAACTTTCAGATTGTGATTTTTTTGTTAAGTTTTTACTTTTAGTCCTGCTTTACTTTAATTGTTTCTTCAGAATACTGAAGATGCATTAAATATCGTTGTCTCGCTTGCTCGAGAAGATTGCGAAAAAGGGACGAGTACGGCCAATCGTTTACTTTATTTAGCCATGGATATGGCTTTAAACCAGGTTAGATCATCTTCTTTAGTTAATAAAAATCCTGTTCAGTAATCACTTCTTGTTTACATGCTGGTTTCTTAGCTATTTTAGAAATTAATTCATACTTGGTACACCATTACCGAATGCATGAAATCTGAAAACTTTTTAAAACTATAACTACATGGAATGCGCAAAAATGTTGGAATTTTTCAGAGTCGCATTGATATAGCTGAAGAAATGTGCAAGTTATTACCTCGACATGTTCACATATTAGCAACCAGTTTGAAAATTCGTCTTTTCGTTCTTCAAAAGCGGTTTTGGGATGCATTGCATGAGGTGGAAAAAGTGTTAAATGAAGATACTGCAAGTTTGGATGTGTCGATGAAGATTTCGAAGTCTGTAATGGACGAATTTTACAAAACACTTTCGACTTGTGACGATGCAGTTGATGAGGTTAACTTTTGTTTGCAGATGTTAAAATTTCATTATCTTTTGTTAGATTATAGCAATGAAATTAGAAAAATAAAAGATAAAAATAAAAATATTTTTTTAATTTTTAATTATAAATTTTAATAAAAAAATTAAAATTAATTATAGTGCAGTGTTTCAGTTCAAATCTTAATTAAATAATTATTCGCTTGCCTATCTCATTACATGACTACGTAAAATATGTTCCATTTTTACTGCGAAACTTAAGGCTTTTCTGACTTCTCCGTTATATTTTTATTATTTTTTTCTCTTCTTGTCTAGACTCTCTTATTTTTTAGAATTTTAATTTATAAACTCAGTTGGGCAATTTAAAATAAGAATTATAGTTTATTATGGAAGTGTTTGTTCAATATTTCAATTGGAATTTTATGTGTGATGAAATTTCTAAACAATTTTTGAAACTTTGATAATTTCATTTTTAATTCTTCACCTTACAGTTAAGTTGTTGAATAAGATTAGTTCAACCCAAGTCATGCACATAATGAATATGCTAGATATTATTAATTCATAGAGTCTTATTCTTTCAGAGGAGATAATTAATTTTTGATTTGCTTTTCGTTTATTCACTTGAAATGTGCAATATTTCAGGCGAAAAGATTATTTATGCTACAAAGGCTACTCAGTAAGTACAATAGGCGTACAACGAAGACACTTCGTGAATTGCTATTGTCTGACATGTATATTCCGTCCAAAAGAAGATCTATGGAAAATAATTTTAAAATTGATCGTAATGTATTAGACAAAATTGTGGAACAAATTCCGGAGGTGCTTACTGATAATAAAACATGATAGAGCTATGCACTGTGTAGTAATGTCACATTTTGATCGGTTGAAGATTTCATCCGGTAAAGGTTTGTAAAGATGGTATTATTTCAGATCTAGCTAATGGATAGTTATCATATAAGGTAGATATGTTGAAATTTAATTTTGTTTTTCTTTTCATTGTCGGGCACGATTATGACAAGTTCAAATATTGAAAGTGACCAAAAAGGACATATCCATTTTCAGAGTGTTTTGCCTGTCAGTCACTTCATGGCTATGTGTTAACTCAGCGATAGTTCGTTATATCCAAAGTTGGGGCAACTAATTAGGCATTGCCTTTATAGTTTTCTCGAATCTTTTATGATATGGTTGGAATAGTGCTGGATCATTTCTTTTTACCGTCGGTGAGATTTCATAGCTGGATATGGTATTAGTAAATTTTAAAAAAAAATTTATGATGCACTGTGAAATTTCAATCATTTGCTGATTGGGACACACTTCCGGTTCGATAATTCGTAATGCAAGGTGAAACAATTGAACTTAATCGGTAATTCCATCAGATAATTAGGTCATTACTTGATCGATTAATACCACTGGTACCGAAAAGTACCGTGGAATGAACTGTTGTTATGAGATGTCGGAAAATCAGATTATGCATCTCTTGACAAAGGGGCAAAAAGAGTGGACGGATTGAAGAGGAACTCCTCATCAGATATAACCTATAATTGTCGTAAGATTTTAAGGCACTGCCATCAGTGTAGATGGACGGCCGAATTTTTGATGTGTGTTAAGGTTGACCCTGCCGTGAGTTGCACCGAAGTTCAATCAAGTGGAATAAAAAGTAATTAGAGAGATTGTGAACGGGCATAATATAATCCAATATGAAAATCAGCAAGCTTTTTGGGACGAGAGATTGAAATAAGGCGGATATAACAGGAAGGATGGATTTAAATACGGTTTCAAATGATAAAATAGAGTAAGAGGGAACATCTGGTGAGAGAATGTACTGAAAAACCTGTTTGGTATCCAGGATTTTTAATCAGCAATGATTAAGTGAACTGTTAGTGCTGCTGCTGCTGCTGCTGCTGCAAAAAGCGATAGAAACATTTCCATCTAAAAGTACTTATTATCGGATAGACAATATGGGAAGTACCATCTGCCTTTTAACTTATATTTCGCAATATTTTCCATTTCCCTCATCTCTCATTATCCTTTTGTGGCGGAGTTTTTATTGAAAACAATAACAATATGCCATCGGTATTGTGTGCATTAAATTTGAATGATATCAAATTTGCTCAGTTACGGTGTAAATATTTAATATATGTAAAAGTTGAAGAAAATTTTTAGGAAAATAAATTTGTATGTATCATAGATGAATATACTATTTAATGTTAGAGCAAATTAATTAATGTTACAATCGTTTAAAATTTATAGAATTTCAACAGTCCTTCAAATTACTGATATTGATCTTGAAAAGGAAAACAAAGAGAAGAAGGAAAAAGTTTATCTTTTGAATATTAATGTAAACATTATATTCTAACAAATATGGATAGATTTGTCATTTGTTATACATTCAACCTAACAGCATCATCTCATTTACTGTCCATTTAGAGCTATGCATTCATCAGGTGAGAGGTTATTATATTTACCTAATACACACACACACACACACACACACAC